ATAGTCTAGTTTAATCTGCCTCAGAATCTGGTTAAAGTTTAATGCAGTCTCACATTAATATTTCACCATACACATATTATTTAAAAACATACAATCAGTAAAAGGACGCAGAATAAAACAGCTTCTGTTCAGTCTGAGAGCTTTGTGTTACACACTCTTAAACTGGTAATGTAGAAAGGGAGAACACAAGTGGTTCCGCCAGAGTAGCATGCTGCCATACTATTTACATTATTTTTGCAGTATGCATATTGTGCCCATTATGCAAATACTGAAGTTTGGGGTGATGGCAGTATCTTCAAGGTGGCATTCGGTCAATCTAAAATAACAGTGTCCAAGATCTTTCATCTATTATTAATGTTGGTTTTGAAAATGTTAAATTTAATGTCTCCAAAAATAGTAATATAATGTAATCAAGTAAGTGTTTATATATTCCTTACACCTTGAATAGATGGAATGTACACATCTTAATCATTTTCCAAAAATAAGTAATTTATATATATATATATACACAGTGGGGCAAAAAAGTATTTAGTCAACCACCAATTGTGCAAGTTCTCCCACTTAAAAAGATGAGAGAGGCCTGTAATTTTCATCATAGGTATACCTCAACTATGAGAGACAAGATGAGAAAAAAAATCCAGAAAATCACATTGTAGGATTTTTAAAGAATTAATTGGTAAATTCCTCAGTAAAATAAGTATTTGGTCACCTACAAACAAGCAAGATTTCTGGCTCTCACAGACCTGTAACTTCTTCTTTAAGAGGCTCCTCTGTCCTCCACTCGTTACCTGTATTATATATATATATATATATGAAGAGTTCATTTGCAAAAACCGATAAACGCCACTTTCAAAAGAATGAGCTGATTGATGTGCATTATTCTCCACCTATAGCGCTATCTGAACCCTAAACACGTTTTGTCAAAAAAGCCGGTTGTGTCCACTTTCAAGGCATCGCGAGTTCACGTTTTACTACAGAAGCCGACAAGCGCCCTTGTTGTTTTTTTTAAACAGAAGCCGATAAGTCCATTTAAGCGAATCATCGTGCTGTATTCAGGTCAGGTGACAAGGCTACTTTCACTTTGAAAAGACGTGCTAGCTGAGAGGAGTTTCATCAAAGCTGACTAAAAGCAGTCAAGTTTCCATCCAGATTTTGCACTGTTTTTGTTATCGATAAAGAAAATATGCGTAAAAAAAACGTTGCAAAAATTGCTGTCTTCAGCCTGTTTCCATCCACCTGGCCTTTTACTGATAAAATGCTGTGCGTGATGACATCATCCCTAAAAAAAATGAATTGTCACATAAGTTTTGGTTTATCGCAAAAAAATTCCCTTGAGCTGTTTCCATACATAATTTCACCTATTGCGTAAATTATACAGGCTAGTAGCCTAGACTCCTCTTTATCCATTTGAACAAAACTTTATCTATCCTATTATTAAATTGTATAGGCCTGCATAAAATTGTTTTTAACAAGTGGCATGAGTTGTGTTTTTTCCACCTGGCCTTTTACTGATAAAATGCTGTGCGTGATGACATCATCCCTAAAAAAAATGAATTGTCACATAAGTTTTGGTTTATCGCAAAAAAATTCCCTTGAGCTGTTTCCATACATAATTTCACCTATTGCGTAAATTATACAGGCTAGTAGCCTAGACTCCTCTTTATCCATTTGAACAAAACTTTATCTATCCTATTATTAAATTGTATAGGCCTGCATAAAATTGTTTTTAACAAGTGGCATGAGTTGTGTTTTTTTTTGTTATAGACTATTTAGATACTTGATCATCAAGCATTATTCATAAATAGGTGCAGTTGTATTAGCCTATCATTATTTTTCTGATTAACTTTTAGAGGAAATGTTCATTTCTGTTATTTTATTTGTCCTAACCAACAACCGGCGGTTGTTAAGCCATTATTAACTGACAACATTATGTTACATTAAAATTAAATGAAATTTGAATTGATATGTGGCTGTGACCCAATAAAAATACCTAAATTTGTTTTTCTGGGATTAATTTTATACACGCAAAAAGCAGCATAAACAACAGAACGTGAGGATTCATATGGTCATGTCACGCACCTGCAGCGCTTCTGCGAATGCAGAAAAACACAATAAAGCTATAAGCTATATAAAAGAAATAAATAGGCCTATGCGCAAAATATATTTTAACAACAAAATATTTTAACAATATTTTAACAAAACAGAAGAAACAAAACTGTGCAACAATTAGCAGCCGAAATGCATAATTTCTGCTAATTTTTGTGATGCGCTCTTGAGAAAGCGGCATCCTGTTTGTTTCCTTTATTTTATGTATGATACACACAAATATTTTGTAAAGGTAAATAAAATTCCCATATATATATATATATATATATATATCGCGAGAGAGAGAGAGAGAGAGAGAGAGAGAGAGAATTGTATTGTATTTTGTGCATAACCTGAATTAAATTTGCATGTCATAAAAACAAATGATCTGATATTTACAGAGACTTTTAGACCTTGGCACACAGTCATAATGGCCTTGATGATCTCCTGTTTTATGTTTCTGCACATTTCTGCATGATGGTCGCAAGATTTACAATTACAAGATACAATTACAAAAAAAAAAGCATTGTGTTACTAATCCACCACATTTTTTTTCTATTTGATTGTACTACTGCAGCAACACATGACATGACACAATCACAGCCAATCGGAAAACCTTTGATATTGCTCATTGTGTAGAGAAGGTTTTTTGTTTTCTTCACAAAATTGCAAAAATGCTAAATATTCATAATTATTTGTCACTGGCTCAATGTAATGAGGTCATGACAACAATGTAGCCCACTACTGTCTGAACCAGACTTGTGACCCACAAACACATTACAGTGCACTTGCACTATGTTCACAGTAACATGTGATCGTCCCTCATCAGTTCTTTTGTGACAACGTCCTTGTCTTCCTCTCCATCTGTCTTTCTATCAGCGGTGTACATGCAGAAGCTAGACAGCTTTGATGTGGCATTAAGCCTTTGACTGTTTAGCCACGGCCTCTAAGAAGGGACAGATGAGAAGACTCAAACTATCAGGCCACGCTCCAGTTAGGCCAACAAATCCAAAACACACACTCCCTCTAATCAGTGCTAAACCATGCCAACAATTTCTACAAATCCAATTTGTTCCAAAGCACTATAAAATGGAGGGTGCAATAATAACAATATTAGCTCACTCTGATATTAGTAATTAGCATGAGGCAAAGTGGAAGCGGGCATGAAATCTGCGAGTAAGGCGCTCAATACTCTATAAAAGGACTGAGTCAATCAGCAGCTTCACAGTGCTGCTCACTCCCAGCACACTTCCTGTGTGGGTTTGATCAGGGGCTACTCTCCAGAAAGTAGGGGGAGAAATCCATGGAGAGGGAAGGAATACACCTCGCAAACCTCAAAGAGAAAAATTTGAATGGAGAAACAGCAGGCCAATCGCTTTTGTGTTGGGCTTTGTTGAGGTCTTGCTCTGTTAATGAGGGTTAAGGGTGGCCTTTAGCAAAGAAAGACCTACGTAAGGAGGCCCGGAGGCTGTTCGGCATCGCATTTATAGCCACTTTTACGTAGTTCATGCAGCAGCAGCAGCTGTCAGTCTGGGACTCAACAAAGATAGCTGAGTGGACTAGGGCCAGTGTGAGAGAGAGTTTATTTATTTAGCGTTGAGCAATGTAACC